CACTCTTTCATGCCCCATACTCATATCATCACAATACGACAAAAGAAAGGACAACATTTCCCGTAGCTTTACTTTTAAGAAAATCGTCTTTATTCTAGACGTCGTAACATTCTTTGAATTTAATGTATCACGTCAACAAAAATTATTTATAATTCTCGCTGAGAATTAATTATATATCCCACTATTAATAAAAAGAAGAAAAAAAATGTTATTCTAGAAATATCTATATGCACACATCTAATAGTAATCGTCTTTTATTATCTACGTCTTAAGTTTCTTTTGTTCAAATGAGACAGGAAACATTGCTTCCTCTCTACTCTTGAATTTTCCTATTACAATATTTTTATTTTGTGTATTTGTTGTATTTATATTTAAGTGCATATTCCATTTAAATTCCTTTTAAGATTCCAACTTAAAATCCTATTAAATTCGAATAAGAAAAACGTCACCCATGTCTGGGCGACGGGACCCCATGGAAGCATACTTGTCACTGAAATATAGGTTACCTGACGACTAACTGATTAAATAACAATAAAAACAAAAGACGACCAACCAATTGTTAGACATCAAAAAACTATATTCCGATTGTTATACTAACATGTACGATTTTTAAATATGGCCGTTTCCTGTACATTATTTTCGTATTTGTTTAATTTACTCGTTTTAAATAAAACTTTCAATTGAAACTCATTATGTATATAATTAAGGTATACTAATGCATTTATTTCTTAATTTTCTTCATCCTAGACACACACATTATATTAGTAGTTATTAATTAAAAATTTAGTAAATGTAACGGTATACGATTTTAAAGAACAGTCACTGTATTTGTGTGAATCAATTAACACACTATCGGCGGGTAACATCATGAACTTAACTCACACGTATAGCGGGCGAAAATTAGTAAAGTATGAAAAAAGTGCGCTTTTTAGAAAACATGTAATATTTCACATTTAGTAATAGGATTTCAATGAAATTTGGCAAATAGGTATAGTATAGTATTTCGAAGAAGTAGATGAAATTTAAAAAAAAAATTCAATTTTTAATTTAGTTTTCTATTTCTTCATTTAATGTATAACATGGACCAAACAATAATTGTTATTGAATTTATTAATTAATGTATTAATTTCCGTAAAACGACACATATGCACTTGATATTTACAGAAAACTTAAACTCAATGCTATCAAAATCAATCAACTGAATTTGTGCTACTTTGTAAGCACGAAACTTGCAGTATCAAAATAGCACAATTCATAAAATTATTAGTTTTTCTTAAAAATTAATAAATTTGGGACTAAACACTGGTCAGGCTTTACGAAAAACAACCAAAAACATCATTCCTGCCTAAAAATTAATGACAATGAAAAAAAACAAGTATTGGTAAGTGTTTTATTAACACTTAGCGTACGTTCTGCATAAAAAGTATTAATATCTGACCCGCCAATAACCGCCAGTCTGTGGAAAAGGTATTAATACCCTTCTCGCCGATAGTGTGTTAATTATTTTCCACGTGAAAATACGAATTTCTCTTTTATCACGCGTGGAGGGGCTACGGCGTATTCATTTTCTCTTTTTTATTATTTAGATATATATATTAGAAGAATATTTGAAAATTGAAATAAATATTTGCAGGATAATAATCATTGACACGTATTATTGTGAAACGAGAGAAGGATTTACTCAGTCGGAATATAATTTTCAATTGTCGAGAATAATTGTGCGAATTCGTTATGCTCAAAATGTTCAACGAAATGACTAATTTCTAAGTCAGTCAGGATAACACGTCTTATGAATATTGTGTTCCAAATGAACACTAGGATGCACTTTCGCGTTAGCTAGAAATCTAACAAAATACGGCAGCATAGTCGACATTAAAGGATAGTTTCATAGATAAGTAGGAGTGAAAATGGAAATTTGTATACGTTAATCAAATATCTGACACTTCTCTTTCAAATATGAAAACACGTTTCTCAAAGGTGGATATAGGAAACAAAAAAGCGGACTAACGAAACCATCGTTAATAATTTCTACATGGTTTTCGTGTTACGTTAAACGAAATATATTTTTATTTTTATTTTTATTTTATTTTTTCTTTCCTTTTATACAATTAAACGTTTAAGCATGAGAACATCGTGTTGCCATAAAATTAATGGATTTACGATCTATAGAGAATAGTATCAAGATCTTCGAAAGAAATTGACTAGTTCTGTAACTTATAGGGATGCTTTTTAAGCACTTTAAAACTTACCTCAAGTGAGAAAAACACTCGAAGATACTTAGCGATAGTCGTTTGTTCTTTTCAAGTACTTCTTATAATACATTAGAAGAAGTAATTAGAGAGTTAAAAAAAAAAGAACAAAAGAATAAAGCGATATGAAATAGCTAAAAAGTACGATGTTATTTACAATGATTAATCAAATTAAACAAAGGTATGATTAATTTTATCAAATAAAAATGGCAAATATTTTTATTATACTGCGTGATAGTAGATCGAAATAATGAAAGGGAAGGGAAAAACATGATTTACGAATAAAATGATCAGAGAAAGGGATATTATTTCGGAAAACAAAAAATGTAACATTTCGTAGAGGAATTAGAATGATTTAGTGGGTAGTCTTTGATTCCATTTTAGGTGAGCCGTGTTCTTGTTACAGACAGTGATGAATAGTTTTGCCTCTTCAACGCGTACCTAACACCTCCCTGACGATTCATATAACGTATCCAGCTGACAATCGAGAGCATGATCACAATGTTCGCGATAGATCCAATCCGTTTAGTTCTACAGATTCGTCAATGTTATATGAATCCTATTTGCTCGTCTCTCAATGCCACTAATGATTTTCCTTTGCTCTGCTTGTCATTAGAAATTATAATTGGGAATTGTTAATGAATCAAGTATTAATAAAATTTATCATTTTCCCCTACTTTAATAAAAGCATATTATAAATGTGTCTCGATTGTTCCTTTTACGATAAATTAATTTAGCGAAAATTCTCCCTTTTTGCGTGTAATATAATACATGGATTTTAAATGAATTTCCTACGTTTTCCCATTAATCGATCGAAATGTTCTCCATTTAAAATAAATGTTTCAAATCTGTTGTATAAAAATGTTTAACAATATCAAATAAAAATTGTACTGTATCAATTCTAGATGATTAATACAATACATGCGAACTACAAATGGAAATAATGAAGAAATTAATCAGACAATTCAATTGAAATTTAATATCCGTTCGGTAAGTTCCGAAACAAAGTGAATGACGGTGTTTGAGTTCGAACGAAAAACGAGAAACAACTTTAATCCTCTTAACGTTAGTTTCAATGGAATAGTAGAAGCAAGTATTACGGGAAATGAATATTCTTTCGCTTTACGATGTTGGAATCTAATATCCGGTCGAGTTTAAGTAGTTTGAATTATAGGAACATAAGTCGAGAAAAAAGAGAGTGAGAGAGAAACAGAACCAAAGTAGGAACATTTTGGTCATGCATGTTATCGTATCTATTTTAAACGATGTTTAATCCCCCCGCCACTCTACCTACTTATTTATGAAAATTAATGGGAAAATAGTAGAGAAACTTATGGTATTTCGGATAACAAGGAAGTCCAAACAGGTTTGGGAAATTTCTATATGTATATATATGTATGTTGTATGTATATACAAGAGAAAAGAGAGAGAAATAAATAGAAGAGTTTCGGTTTGGTATTTTATAAAGTTACCTAGGTTTTAACTTTAAAGTTATATCATTCGTTGAAGGTTAGCGTTTTTAAAGTGTAACAAAAAAACTTAAAATTTAAGTACTCAACTCTTTCCTTCCTTCCTTCCTTCCTTCCTTCCTTCCTTCTTTTCATCCTTCCTTCAATCATTCATTATTATTTTCCTTTTTCTTTCTCTATATTTTTCTGTATATTTCTTTTTTTTCTGTTTCCTCTTCCTTCCGTACTCACGTAAAGTTCATTTTCTTGCAAACCCGTGTGAAACTTGGATTCTATCCATAAAAGTTTGTTAATCTTATGGATCGTGCGGAACGATCTTCACGAGAGTAAAGTAATCTAAAACAAGCCGATTGAGTGAAGTAAGTAGTTCGAATAGAATGAGACGCGTTATCTTTACTATCTCCTCATATGTTTTATCTCATTTTCACGTCAATAAGTTCGTATCGATCTTAGATGAATTTTTATTGGAAAACTGTAATAACAATTATTTACGTTCTCAGTTTGTAATTACAAACAAAGGATATACGTACATTCGTATATATTTTCACGGATGTCATCGGACGTATTAAATTTACTTAATATAAATTCGACTAATTTATCCTGGGCTTTTCTCTCCCGAAGGACTTAAATTTCGAACGAGGGAAAATTTATTATTGCATTAGGCGATTAATTTGAAATAATGAATTTTACATCGATTTCTCGAACGGTGTGTAATTTATTAAAAAAAAAAAAAAAAAAAATAAGAAAAAAATAATGAGAGAAAGAGAGAGATTTAAGCTTCGGTATAATACACAAGTAAACAATAATAAAATATATGTAATATATAAATTTTATTTAATGACATACAGAAAAATGAATAAAATGTTTAGAAGGCTCGATTACGTGATGGATTTTGTGAAGGATCTGTTCTAATTCGTAATTTCTCTTCTAGGTTAAATTGCAGCTTGGCATTTAATTAGAATTAGATCTTATTGTTAGGAAAATCTCGTTAGGGTTGAGATTGTCTCTGTCTCTCTTTCTCTTTCTCTTTATTGCGGTCACGTCAACAAGTTCACACAAATTGTTAATCTGAAATAATTTAATTAATGTTTCTCTGAATTTGAAGCAAAACAAAACTTTCTCGCTGATAGAGTTTCTTTTTTATAAAATATATGTTTTTTTTTCTGAAACGTTTAATTTTTCATATATTATTTAGTTAATTGATGAATTAACTGAATTATACACTTTAACAATAACATAATGTATACAATATCCATACGTTGAAATGTTGAAGAATTCTTACCTTTAATTAAATGATCGACCGCTGGTATCTCGGTGTCCATTTACGAGAAAATTTACATGTAAATGCATCTCTACTCTCATATCCGGTCCTTGATCGCATCTGCTGCATCCACAGAAACTCAAATCATATGGTTCCACGTTAGACATTCTTCGACGATAGGATCGAGAGAAATTCCATTTCTATCGATAAACATTGCTTAGAAAGAAAATGTAAAATCGATCCTAAACATACGAATACTTTTATGATAATCACGAATCAAATATAATAACAAAATCTTATTGAAAAATGTAAAATATTATTAAAAGATTAAAATAGTATAAATGATAAGTAATTGTTTAGAAATCACACGAAAATATGGTTATCCTACTTCTTTCTATGAAATTGCAAAAAAAAAACACTTGTTAATCGTCGTTTTATTTTAACGTTTTACGATTAAAAATCAAAATAGAATAAAAAGAAGTGCAAACAAAAAATGCAAATAAAAATTGTAGACAAATTCGGCTGGTTGATATTTTTCTTTCTATTTTATTTACTTAGTTAGCCCGTTACGCGCGTAAGCTTTTAAAAAATCGATCGTTATATCGCGAAGAAAAAAAATTGTAAAATAGCGATTCGATCTCTGAGGAAAAATGTGACTACATCGTAAAATATTATTAAAAGATTAAAATAGTATAAATATGATAAGTAATCGTTTAGAAATCACACGAAAACGTGGTTATCCTACTTTTATTTCTATAAAATTGCAAAGAAAAAGAAACACTTGTTAATCGTCATTCTATCTTAACAGTTTACAATGAAAAAATAAAAATAGAACGCAAAAAAAGGAATAGAATAACAAAAATAAGAAAGAAAAGACGGGAAGAAAATTGTTAAAAAAATTCGGCGCTTAGTTGATAGTTTTCTTTCTATTTTCTATTTACTTATTTTGCTCGTTGCGCGTAAGCTTTCATAAAGATCGATTGTTAAAAATGGGTGAAAATAGCGATTCGGTTTCTGAAGAAAATGGGACTAGAGCTAAGGTCCAACCGAATGTAGATACGCGCGTATACTGAAGGTACTCGTGGGAGCGAGGGCGCCGGCTTCAACCATTTCAACCCCTCTTTCGTTCCAGCATCCAGAGTGCCACGCGCGTTTTCTCTCTTCCTCTATCGCATTCATTCTATTCGCGTTCTACTTGCCTTTATCACTTTTTTCTTTCCCTTCTCCCCCCCCCGCCTCCCGCCCTCCCTGCTTTCTTCACTTTCTCTCTCTCTCTCTCTCTCTCTCTCTCTCTCTCTCTCTCTCTCTCTCTCTCTCTCTCTTTTTATTTTTGTCTTCGTGTCTTTCCTTTTTTTTTTATTCGTTACATTTTTTTTTTTGTTATTATTATAATATTAACATCGTGTTGTAAAATAACAATAATGAATTCGTTTCGGATGCGTTTCGTCACAGTTAGATGATACTAGCGTTACTGCTGATCGTTTTGTGATTTGACTATTCTTTTTTCCTATTTCTATTCTTTCTCTTTCACTTTTTTCTCTTTCGAACGAGATATCGTAATCTCACTGGCAGGATGTTTTTTGCCATTACTACATACTCGCTTTATCAATTGTCAAATGCAATATAAACCTACCGGTATCTATTTGATATTATTATGTAAAACAATAGTTGCAGTATTAGTAATTTTTTTTTCTTTTTTAATCTATCTTCTATAGAATGTAAAGAAGTTGAAAAAATTTATCGTAGTTTTTTTCTTTTTTTTTCTTTTCATTTCAACAAAGTAAAAAGATAATTGATGATTGAATGGAATTTTACTATCAACGTTTTCGTTTTCTTTTTACTTTTTTCTTTTTTCTTTTCTTTTTTGCGTTTGGAAATAATAGCAAATTTAAAAAAAAGAATAATTTTAATAATTATTTAAATAGAAAAATCACACACAGGGATTTTCAATTAATTACGCGGTAACTAGGACGTTCGACTCGTTTCGCGACAAAGGAGGAATCCACGCTTGTAGAAATTAGTTTCGAAAGCATATATTGATAATTAGAAATGTAATTATTGAGGAAACGTATCGAAGGTTAGTTTACGCTTAATAATTTTGCTACCGCATTCATATGCGACAAAGTAATCATTGCGTCAAAACCTAACAATAGAATTTTCTCTTTCGGGGCGAATTTTGTTCTATCTGAAATTAATGAGTTGCCAGACTAATTGAAAAAAAGAAAAAGAAAAAGAAAAATATAAAAGATAAAACAGAAAAACGCCGGAGCACGTAAATTTAATAAAATTTGTTTAACAAAATTAATCGAATGCATGGCGCAACTTTTTTTTTTGTATTTTTAATGAATACCATATACCCAAATAAGTACGCATTTTCTTTTATTTTTGTATGTATACATTTTCGAAAATTAAACATTCGCATCTCTATATTCAATTGTAGCGTTGTACAACGTAATAGGAAAAAATTACGAAGCGTGTAAATACATAATTAACGCGTATCATTAATTATTTTCTAATAAATATCTAACGAACGTGTTTTGAATCCTGAGTATGGCAATTACACGTTGGTTTTGACTTTACGCATGGAATATCAAACATACGTATATAACTTGTACGCTTATTACAATAAATGTTAACTCTTTATCCTGTATGTATTAACAAATATAAATGCATACTTCGTTAAATCATTTTTAAAATTTAATTTGTTTAATCGTATTTTCTATGAGACTTTTATTCCAAAGGATTTGCTTATTAAATTTCGAAACGATTGAAAAAAGTGATCTAATTTAACGTAATCCAATTCACGAGCATTTACAATAACGAAAGAGATTCAAAAGATAATAATAATAATTAAAAAAAAAAGCTTATACTATTTCATTGATAATCTCATAAGATAATAATTAACGTTGTTTTATGAATACTGTAAAAGAAACATGCAAAAATAATATTGAATATTATTACAGTAAATATTCTCGTTATTCGTACGATTGATTATAGAATCTTTAAACATTAAACTTTACATATTATCGAGTAAACAATGCTCGCACAATATATATACACGTGCTGCTCGTAAAATACAAGGCGAAAGTACATAACAATATAAACGATATATAATCCAAATATTTTCAGATTATATTAATCTTTTGTTTCCATACAGGTTTATATTTTATTTATTACTCGCAGATTATGAAGATACTTAATTGTTTTTTACGAATCATTTATGTATACCCGGTATGAAAATGTATTCAATTATTATTATTATTATTATATTATTACGATAGGACAGGAAAGACATATTTATTTCAAAAATAATTAACTATCAAAGGAGAAATACGCGAAACTTTAAAATTCAATTAAACGAGATCGATCACCCTCTTACATAATAAACATGTTTACGTATCAACAAAGAGAACACGCTCGCATAATTAATCTTATAAATTCTTAGCAACTTATCGTTTTCATATTCTCCGTTGCAACAAGGCAACCTCGTTAAGAATTTTCGTTTCACAAAAAAGTTATTTAAATTGCATCGAGGAAATAAGGGAAAATACTTCGAGACGTAGTCAAAGTCGAACGTAAAATTATTCTTATTTAATTACCAAATGACGTAACTTCTATTTTATAAAGTAACAACTTAAGACGGTGAAATATAACGAGACGACAAATTTGATCGAACGAACGAATTAACTAACTAACGAATAAAAGTATAAAAAAAACGTAGACTCGAAAAAAAACGGGTCAATCGTGTTAGAAAATTATTTGCCGAACGCAGCTGATTAAAAGATTTTTCATCTGACTTTACAACTCGAACGTGAAATTCAGCCTCCCTGGTAATCAACGAACGTACTCTAACTTAAGAAAAGAAAAAAGAAAATGAGAAAAGAATCATTTTCCCCCTTCTGTAGTAAAAACAAAAAAAAAAAAAGAAAAAAAATAGAAAAAAGAAATGTAATAATGAGACCAAGCATTTCGTTTCTTTGAAAAATATGTCACGTCGTGCAATATGCGGTCGCTTTAAACTCCCGTCAACAAGAGAATGAGCGGTAAAAGACGTGAAAACTTAATTACGCGCAAAATTGTAAAGCTCCAAGTTGAAACTTTAACGCTCGGATACTTCGTTGCAGTTCTTTTTAAGTGTGGCCGTAACTGGAAGAAGGATCTCTAACGCGAGTCAAGCTTTTCACGTATGTATTATAAATAATCTTTCCATGAAAATCTCGGACGTGTTATTCAAAATGAATGAATTAAAGTATTCATGTTTATTGAACTTTGTTCTAATTTATTCCCTATTTCTATCTATAATAGATTGAACTTATAATAATAATAATAATAATGATGATAATATAATACGTAATAATAAAATGTTAATTAGATATATCGATTAGCTGCTCGTCAACGGGATTTTTTTTTTATTATAAATCTTTCATTTTCATTGAAAAAAATATTATTTCTCCCATACTAAAATTAATTTTTTGAAAGTGTCACATTTTAGGTCATTTTCAACGCGAACGTGGCAACCGCTCTTTTCAATTTATGTTTCGTTTCGTTAAATACACATTTTCTTCATAAATTAAATAATATGTTTTCGTTATTATTACATATTCGTTGCTTTTACTTATTTTATTTCTTTTTGTTAATATCGTTAATGGTATGGCTAAAGAAAAATAGAAAAAAATTTGTTTCTAGTAAATATGAAAAAATGTGATGGGTAAACGTAGTCACCGTTGTTGCACCTTATACTAGGACACAAGGTACCAAACATAAATTATAAATGAAATGCAATGTGTTAGAGTTAAACTTTATCATGTTATGCACGGAATGTTACTAGCATTCTCCCTAGAGAATACTTAAAAAAATAAATATAATATTTTACTAATAATATATTAATATATGGTATTTTTTTAGCTTTATGTTTACATCTGTAAAAAAAAAAAAACCAAACCAAATTTATTCTTTTTATCATTCTATCGAGTATCTTGAAGAATTATTTTTTCAATTCTTATCATTTAAATTTGATTACATGGAACAAAAAAACGGATCCTTGCAATATCTCTTTATATTTGTATTCCGTGAATTCATCATACTTGCTCGCTATGCTTTCTCCATTATTTTCAGTTTCCGATCTGTCATGCGTCGACCAATTAGGCTCCTTGATGTAGATTTATCTCCGAGCTTGGTTTCCGAGTTTAGCCACAAGCATAAATATCAGTCGAATCTAAAATGAAATAAACAAAAATTTCATTCTCTTCTTTTCTTTACGAAAAATGACGGGAAACAAACGCGTTCGTTTGATTTAAAAAATCAGAAACTCCGTCTAATGGCAACTAATGCATATTATTATTTAAAAAACAAAGTTTTTTTGTTTTTATAAAAGAAACATCGTTTTTCAAAAATAGGGGGAAAAAACATGCGTTGTCTTCGCAATTAGATAGCTCGAGTAATCACGTAAAAAATGATTTTTTTACATCCGCCATGGTCATTTATAAAAGTTGTATATTTTAAACAAAAATATTAATTATTTTATCGTTACGTTAATTTTCGGGAAAGGAAGCAATAATATTGGACAAATATTCAAAACCGAAGCACAGGATAAAGTAATATGATAGAAAGCGAATGGATCCAATCTAAAAGAAATTATCTTTTACAGGAATGGCATCGATATTGGTTATATATGTGATATCCTGATGCAAAATCAGATCGATTAACTTGATTGATGGACGCTTGATATTACAATACCGATTGAAGCGACCGTCAAGAGCCAACGTACACATTGCATACACTACAAATATATATACTATTTACTAATATGCATACAAACTCAGAACCTGTACATATATAAGTTAGAGTAGGTATTCGGTATTATGGCAAATAATAATCGCAGGATTAGCAATCTACGTTATAATATCGTCATCGATTTGTAGTGCATCGTAAACGAATCATTTCTACAAACGTAAATTAAAATCTATAGGAAATTCTAATTCCGGGGAATAAGTAATGCTATGACCATTTAAATAAAATTTTTCTAAAAGAAATCTATTGACTAGTAATGTCACGAAAGAGTATCAAAG